ATTCACTCACTCACTCCAAGCCCCCTGTGGCGGCGGACTTCCCTTTTCTTCTGTAGAGACTAGTGATGGCTATGGCTGCTTTCATCTTGTGCTTGTAAAGATAACTCCAGTGACCCAAAAGCTTAAGCAATTACTACTGAAAAAGTGTACTTTCAGCCTCATTAAATCATGTTTGTGACAGAGCAGAGGGCCTACAGGGGTGCTGTCATGGCTGGAAGACATGTACATGCATGAAATGTAATGATGAAACCCATGCTATAAAAACATTTTAAAAAAAGGGGTGGGGGGGGGGCTAGAAAGATGGCCCAGAGGGTTAAGAGCACTGGCTCCTCTTCCAGAGATCCTGAGTTCAATTCTCAGAAATCACGTGGTGGCTCACAGCCATCTATAAGGAGTTCTGGTGCCCTCTACTGGCCTGCAGGCATACATGCAGGCAGAACACTGCATACGTAATCAATCAATCAATCAATCAAAGACATTTTTACACTGGGTGGTGGTGGCCCACATCTTTAATCCTAGCATTTGGGAGGCAGAGGCAGGCGGATGGATCTCTGAGTTTGAGGACAGCCTGGTCTACAGAGTTCCAGGACAGCCAGGCCTACACAGAGAAACCCTGTCTCGGAAAACAAAAACAAAAACAACCCATTTTTACAAGCTGTCATAAGTTTATACCTTATTTTTATTTAGATTATGAAAAGAAATATGCACATAATTGACATATATGTGTGTTTGAAGTAAAGGAAGAGAATGTTATGTGAAAAAACAAAACTTTAAACATCCTCATTTGTGTCAGGTCCTGAACCTACTCTCTTTGGCAAACCGAAGTTCTCATGCATGCGACTGCACTACAGGCGTAAAGAATCGAGTGGTTACTTCCACACACTGAGAGCTGTGATACGCAGTCCAGAAGAAGACGGCAAAGGTAAAGAAGAGGAAAGGGGAAATTATTCAGAGATAAATTTAGTAACAGCTTTGTGTCTGTTCCAAGTCCATTGCTTGGGACACTGGGTAGAAGCCCTGACCTCTTGGGATTCAGATCTCTGTTCTATTTGAGTGGATGGAGTGTTTGGTCCCGAAGGGAGTCAGTCATATGGGTTCTGTGGCTTTTCTCACTTACTCTTAGGGGCAGCAGACATGGCCCGTCCTTGCTCATGGGTGCTGTCTCCATACCTCACACAGTGATCAGACCCCTGTGGGCTCCAACTTTAATTGCTGTTCATTTAGCGCTCTTGTTCTTGACTTAAATCATCATTTAGAACATTGTGAATTAGTAGGATGGAGGGTAGTGAACAAGAAAGTTTTCTGTGAGTGGTAGGCAATAAAAACTAGTATTTAAATCTGTGGCCATAAGTTGAATTCAAGCTGGGATTATACTCTAGTGTTCGGTGATTAGTAAGGGCTGTGTTTGGATTTCAGATACTCTCCAGTGCATTGCAGAGATGCTGCAGATCACCAAGCAAGCGTTGGGGCTGGATGTTCCCATAGTTGAGAAGAAGCTTGAGAGGTCAGTGTCAAGAGAAGATATCATTTAGAGCCAGACACAGCAGTGGACACCTGAAATCCCACCGTCTGCAAGGTGCAAGAGTTCAAGGCCAGACTGGGTAGAGAGCGCCTGTCTTAAAACAGGAAAGCCCTGAAGTAGAAAACCAGCCGAGTAACAGCAAAGGACCTCACACTGTCTTAAGTGCACCAATATATCCCTGCTCCTAAGTAATACAATTTAAAACACCTATGCCACCAGACCCAGTTTATACTGTGCTGGAGACTGACTACATGGTTTCATGCATGCTAGGGAAGTCTACCAACAGCTCAAAGGCCCTTGGTTTGGGTGAGACAGGGTCTAGCTTCATTCTTGATCTTGCCTCAGCCCTAGAGTGCAGGGATTGGAGTGCACACCATGGCCAGCTGTGGTAATAAGGTTAGCCCTCTGTTGACTGGAGATTCTGTCACTCACCCTGGAACCCTGAGGAAGATACTCCACAGTCTTTCTATGTCTCTGTTGAGGTGTAGTACTTAGTATGAAGTAAAACTTTAACTCCACCTGCTTCAATGTAGCTGCTACATAGTTTTAGTTACATTCTTATCTTTCTATTATGTGGTGTGTTTTATTTGGATTATCAGTTAGCAGTGCCCTGCTTCCAGGAAATCTGAGCTACTTACAAAGCATTTCTACTGATATTAGTTGGTGTGGGTACTTTGGATTCTATAAGGAATTAACTTTTTTTTCTTTTCTAACTTATAGGAAAAGCAGTAAGCCTCACGAAGACATCATTGGTATCAGATCTCAAAACCAAGGATCTCTGGCCCAGGGGAAAAGTTTTTTAATGAGCAAATTTTCATCTCTAAATCAAAAAGTAAAACAGACCAAATCCAATGTGAACATTGGCAACCTACGCAAATTAGGAAACTTTACCAAGCCTGAAATGAAAGTTAACTTTCTAAAACCAAACTTAAAAGTCAATCTTTGGAAATCAGACAGTAGTCTTGAGACCATGGAAAACTCGGGAGTGATGGATAATAAGGTCCAAGGGGAGTCTGACGGGGACGTGTCTTCAGATAATGATTCGTACCACTCTGATGAATTCCTTACAAATTCCAAGTCTGAGGAAGACAGGCAGCGAGCCAATTCTTTAGAGAGTGTAGGGCCAATAGATTATATTCTCCCAAGCTGTGGTATTATTGCTTCAGCACCTCGACTAGGCAGTCGATCCCAGTCTGCCAGCAGCACTGATATTAGCATTCATGCTCCCTCAGAGGCTGCTGTTGGTCACAGAAATGGGCTTGGAAAAGGCCAGGAGTCTCCCTTGAAGAAAAGTCCTTCTGCTGACAGCATACGCATACCGACTGGCTTTGCCAAGCCAGTGGATGTTTACTGCCACAGATTCGTAAAGGACGCACAGAACAAAATGACTGAGCTCTCAGAAACCAAGTCTGTGTCTCAGAATAGTGAGGAAGGAAACCAAAAGACTAACAATGTTTCTAATGAAGAAAATCAGTCAGAATCAATGGGACAGATGCCTTCTCGACCATCCCAGTTAAATGTCTGTTCTTTGACAGGCCCACAGTTTTTATCAGTTGAACCAGTCCATTCAGTGGCATCTCAGAAGAGCCCCAGCTCTGGGTCCAGCCTGCTGGAACTGGAGGCAGGGCTTGGTGTGACTCCTTCTTCAGAGAGCAGCGGCAGAGTGGTCTCTCCCTTTGCAAAGATCCGTAGCTCCATGGTCCAAGTTGCTAGCATTACCCAAGCTGGGCTAACTCATGGGATAAACTTGGCAGTGGCCAAAGTTCAAAAGAGTCCAGCAGAACCTGAAGTGGTTAATGAAATTCAGCAAAATGAACTTAAAAATATGTTTACACAATGCCAGACACGAATAATTCAGATTTAGATTTTAGTCACAATCTTACAGTCTTTATTTAAAAATTCAAAATGAAGTTTTCACCTGTGAGACTTTTTTTTTTTTTTTGTCTTTTTGAAACAATTTCTCTGTGTAGCCCTGGCTGTCCTGGAACTTGCTTTGTAGACCAGGCTGGCCTTGAACTCAGAGATCCACCTGCCTCCCGAGTGCTGGGATTAAAGGTGTCCCCCACCACTGCCTGGCCCTATCAGGCTATTTTAATCTGTACTGAGTTTAGGGATTACAAATTCTAATTATGTTCATTGGTGATTGTTTTACAAGGAGTCCGAACCTGAGCAAATTTTCAGATGTATAGCCTACAAGTGATCATCCTAGACTGTAGGCTGGAGTAGCAAATACACAGCAGAGTGCTTTGTTGATCTCACTCGGGAAGGTTCAGGAAAGAACCAAGCTAATGTTTGGAGGGAGGAGGGAGATAGTCTGTGAAGCAGAGGCAGTGTGGATACACCCGTTGAAGAATTAGCATTTTTCTGCTAGTCTATCAGGTTCATTCCTGTACACTGCCTCTGTAAGGGAAATTATACATTTAGAGTTTAGTGACTTTTAGAAGTGTGCGGAAGTATCTAAATTTTAAAAAAGAAGTACTCTTACCAGCTTAAGCATTCTCTGTGAAGTTGAGAATCAACAATGTCTTTCATTTGATTCCAATTTCTCCCGTATTTTTTCTCTCCCAAATTCCTGAACAAACACAGGCTTGCCTGTCAAAGTACACCTGCTTCAGGAAGAGATCATGTATACTGATTGACTCTAGGAATCTCTAGAAGAAATGTCAAGTTTTAACTCTTAAGGGGGACATTTAGCATCTCTGGTAGGTTCAGGAAGTATGGAAAACATAGCTAAAGTACAGGTTAGTACTGGTTTTATGCAGTAATGGACCACCAAGAACACTGGCCTCCTCTACATCCTCTGCATCCCAGAGTAAGAAAGCTGTATGGCACATTCCACCAAGTATCAATGTCTCTGGGGCCCTTAGAGCCTTCCTCCGTGGAAGTGACTCTCAGTTGAACATTATGTCTGTTGTAACTCTGATAAGCATTCCGCTTTTGTTATTTATTAGAAGTGTCAAGTCTTGTGACTATTAAAGTACTACTGTAATTCAAAGCATCAATGTGTATGAGAATTTCTTGTATAACATCTAATAGTCGTTTGGTTTTCAATCAAAGAATTCGTAATGGCAAGTTTGCTACAACCAAACACTTGTTTTCAACTTTTTCAATTAATGTGTTCGTATTTAAAAAGTAAGAACTGTATTTTAAATCCCAAACATTAAAAACTGGATGCCGCAGTCTGTTCTTTTCCCATCTTTTTCTTCAGGCTCTTCAGAGTAGTTAAGTGCTCACCAGCTGAGTCAGGTGGGCAAATAACAGACGTGTGGGTTTCCACAGACGTGGCCCACAGAGATCTGACAACAGCAGTGAACGGGGTGGTTATTTCCCAAGAGGCATAGAGCTACGAACATGAACACCCACTGTGCAGGCAAGGGAGAGATGGTGCCTCAAAAGGCTGAAGGTTCCAGTCTCTTCTAGTTTGACTTGGGTAGATGACTTCCTGTGCTTCTAATTCATGAAAAAATGCCCACGGTACTGGTGATTTGGAAGTTTTATTTACTAGACAAGGTTACTCAAGGGAACTTTTCTGTAAGATCAAGCAAAATTATGACTTCTCTTTGGCAAATTAGTTTACATTGGTACCGTTGGACACGATAAACTAAAACTTTGTTCTAGGACAAAGAAAATGCATTTTCAAAAATCTATGTGAACATTTTATTTTCAAAGGTTGAAGGAAGATCTTATCTACCAGTTATAAAAATGAAAACCAGTTAGAATTCTAATATGAACATTATTTACATTAGCTTATAAAAATAGATTTGAGGTTAGGAAAAAAATGCTGAACAACTAGTAGTTTGTACTTCCTTTCATTAGGCTAACTCCTTGATTTATCAAGGCTGACCCTGTTTCCTTGGTTAACAATGTCGATGTAAGCCTCTTTAATAGGAAAAAGATAAGGGACCACTGAATTCATCTGTTTCAAATGAATCCATCTTCATGTACATCACAAATAGCTTAAAAGCAATGTTCTAACCTTTCTGAAGATTATTGTTGCCACAATTACCATTATACGGCCGGGCGGTGGTGGCGCACGCCTTTAATCCCAGCACTCGGGAGGCAGAGCCAGGCGGATCTCTGTGAGTTCAAGGCCAGCCTGGGCTACCAAGTGAGTTCCAGGAAAGGTACAAAGCTACACAGAGAAACCCTGTCTCGAAAAATCAAAAAAACAACAACAACAACAAAAAAAAACCAATTACCGCCGGGCGGTGGTGGCGCACGCCTTTAATCCCAGCACTCGGGAGGCAGAGCCAGGCGGATCTCTGTGAGTTCGAGGCCAGCCTGGGCTACCAAGTGAGTCCCAGGAGAGGCGCAAAGCTACACAGAGAAACCCTGTCTCGAAAAAACCAAAAAAAAAAAAAAAAAAAAAAAAAAAAACCAATTACCATTATACTATATTAATTTGCAAATTATAAGTAATAACTTTTGCTTATTTGAAAATACACATCTCAAAATGAATAGATCTGAGGAAAACCTACCTATTAACTTTGGGCCTTTACTGCACTAGCAAATGATGTTACCCATCTAACACACTTGGAAACTATCTGATAAACTCACATTAAAAGTTCAAAATGCAGTACAATCATCAAATCAGCTAAATAATGAGGAAAATGACCAAAAGTCCCCACCCCCCACAGGCTGGGGATGTGGTTTAGTGGTATAGTACTTCTCTAGCATGTACGAGGGGCCAGGGTTCAATACACAGCACCATAGAAAGATTCTAACCCCCCTCAAAGTTTACAATTTAAATCGACCTTTTCATGTTTGGACAAGGTTCCGTGGGGAAGCATTCCCTTCAGAGTCCATTAAAATGATAGTTCCCAAATGCAGGGTATGAGAAAAGCTAAGGACAATGGAGTGACCTTCACAAAGCTGCATTTATTCCATCAAAAGAGTCTCTTGTCAGAGTGTCCTTGTATGAAAACAAAACGGTGATCACAGTGATTTTTTTTTTTTTTCCAAATGACTTGGCAAAATCAATTGGCAACTCTACACCAGAAATTTTTGGAGGTATACTAGTCTATGAAATCCAAAAGTTGGGAACTCCTGCCGTGGAAAAGCCTAATTCTGCAGTTGTTAATAGCTGGTAAGTGAGAAAGAGTTCCTGTGGCCAGATATGTGGAAAATGACACTAGAGAGTTCCCAGGAGTCAATGGCAAGTCCATCCCCTAGACACACACAGACCAGACCGAAATGAGTGCACAGCTCTTCCAGTAACTCCTCAGGTGAAGCTGGCACTTCAAGAGTCTGGCCCAAGATGCATTCATGGCTAAGGAAATGGTGTATGATCAGCAACATTATCATTACCAAACCTTTAATATCAAATACATCTTTGTACATCATAACTAATTATAAAACAAACTCCAAAACTCCATAAAACCAGTAAGGTAAAAGCCCTTACAGAGAATCATATAAACTTTGGACATCATCAGGCTTGATTTCAGGAAGTCATTGTTTGTGGATACAAATTATTTATAAAACAATATGGTATAAACGAATCTGAATTGTACAACCCAGAGGCTACAGATGGCCCATCCATCCTCTTCTAAAGTTCATTCCCGTTCACACACTTGTGCTGCTGGAGCCTGTGCTTCCTGGAAGACTCCAGCTGCTTTGCTCTTAGCCACCGTTCTCTGGACAGTGTCGTCTGACCGGCACTCAGGGACAGAAACCTGGTTTGAAATTTAAAAATTACCCAGTTAGTCAGGATTAGCTTCAAGTCTGAAGAACTAGGAAAGCTCTGAAAGCCCATCAGGAGACAAGATCATATGGTTGCTACACATGAGCAAAGCTGAGTGTGACCTTGCAAAGAAATCCCCCAAGAGACAGAATTAGAGGGTGGCTCGCTCTCAAAAGCTTAGAAAACAAGCCTGTTCTGCTGAGATCACCGGTAAATGTGAACCCCTCAATAAGCACTTTTTTAAATTGGGTGTTCTTTTTATAAATTCTTTTTATTATTATTTTTAATATCCCGATGGCAGTTTCCTCCCAGCCTCTCCCCGTCACTTTCCCTCCGCACCCCCACCACCACTTCTTTTCCAGTCAGGAAAGGGCAGGCCTCCCATGGATATCAACCAAACATGGCATGTCAAGCTGCAGTGAGACAAAAGCCTCAGCGGCACTGTTAGGAGTCCCACAAGAAGACCAAGCTACACATCTGTAACATGTATGCAGCGGGCCTAGGTCAGTTCCCTAGCTGTCAGTTCGGTCTCTGTGAGCTCCTAGGAGCCCAGGTTAGTTGGTTCTGTGGGATTTTCTTACGGTGTCCTTGAGCCCTCTGGCTCCTAAAGTCTTTCCTCCCCATCTTCTACAGCATTCCCAGAGCTCCACCTAGTGGCTTTTCTTTTTATTTGACTTTTTCATGTCTGCATGTGTTTGTGGGAAGCCCAAGGCTGACATCAGGACTTCTCCTCCAGCACTCCGTGCCTTATTCCTTGAGGAAGGGTCTCTTAATTGAACCCAGGGCTGGGTGGTATAACTAGGCAAGTCAGTTTGCTCTGGTAGTCCTCATGGCCACGCATACCCAGATTTTAGGTGGGATCTGAACTTTGGTCCTTAGGCAAAAGCTTTAGCCATCTGCTCAATCCTAGAAGGTGTCTTTGAAGGAAAAGTTCCTTTGTTTTTAAAATTCTGCCTCAGATACTGTTGAATAAATCAGAACTGCACACAGCCAACAGAAAAGGGGATTATGAGGCTGGGTGGTATCGACACACACCTTTAATCCCAGAGGCAGGCAGATCTCTGTGACCCAGCCTGGTCTACAAAGTGAGTTCCAGGACAGCCAGAGCTGTTACACGAAGAAACCCTGTGTCAACAACCACAAGGGAAAAGAAAAGGGGATTATGGATGAGTACTACTTACCGAGCCACCACGAGCAACTGGTGGAGATCATCAGCTGTGATACTCTGAGGATCATTTTTACGCATTTCCACAAAATCATCTTCAACCGCCTTTATCAAAAGAGTAATATATTTGTAAAAGTATTCCTTCAAAAAGTGCATTTCAAACTATTTCCTTATTTTTGTAATGAAAAAGAAACCTAGTCCTTGACTGAAGTAAAAATAGATGGACAAATGGAGCGAGATAGGTAAAAAAAGGAACAAAAACAAAATTTAACCCCATTACAAAATGCAGCATAGAACACTTTCTACATGCAGCTCAGCCCCGTTTGAGAACGCAAACAAGCACAGAAGCCAGCATCTTCTGGAGTGTGATGCCATCAGACTCCAGAGAAGACGGCACAACCAGAGTTGCCATAGTGCACACCTGTGATCCAGTATTCAGATAGCTGAGGGACAAGGACCGCAAGTTACAGGCCTGCCTGGGACCTTACAGCAGAAGACAATGGCTGGAGTCGGCTCCAGCCAACTCTGGAAACTTCCAGTAACGTAAGGATCATTTATGCAAGAAACCAAGTGGCTCCTGTAAGAATGCTGAGTTCTGTAACAATTCAAATTGTTTTGTTTTCACACTCCACACCCCCACCTCAGGTGTTGTCCTTGAAAACCAACAGCCTGGCAGCCACTGGAACAGCAGAATAGGCAGGGCTGACGTTCCTTTAATGTACCATTCACAAAGAACTGCTACTCAGATCTGCAAGGCTGTCTTTACCCAATCAAACTTGAAGCCCATTATAAATGTTCTACTATTGTTACCATTAATAGCTTGCTGTGCTTGCTATATAAATTAAGCTCTGGAAAGGGTTATATACATGCACAATTATGTGCCGCTCCATAGCGCATGCAAAATCTGGTACTGGCCAGTTCCAAGCACCTACTGGGGCTCTCGAGCATGCATCACTCTTGGATAAGGAGGGACCACTGTTATAAAGAACTAGAGGAGGATATGTATACAATGCCTCACCAAGTAGAGACTATCAATAAGAAGAAAACAATGTTTAAAAAGAAGCAAATAGGAAATCCTATACATAAAAAATAAGGTAACTAACAGCAATAACAAATTGCTAGGTATAGAAGATTTGAGTAGGCACAAAAATCAACCAACCAACTCCAAGACAGGTAAACAAAGAAAATAAGGGAAAGTGATCAGAGCTCCAAAGACCTGAGGTTCACACTAAGGTTCACACTGACCAAGTGACATGAGAGCGAGGGGGAGACAGGAAGCAGCAGGGGAGCTGAAAGAAACCACGGCCCTAATCCGGAAGAGGGTTAAGACGTCGTCGTCGTCAACATCAAGGGCACATCGAGCTCAGCACACTGCAGTCGGACAACCAATAGCAATCCAGACTTGGAGGTGTGCTCCTTAAGGAGACCGACTGCTCACAGTGGGAAAGGCAGAGCACCTGGGAACGGGACAGACGGTGGCATGGGGTGAGAGCTTTAAACCCAGCGCTTAGGAGGCAGGGGCAGGCAGAGCCCTTTTTTTGTTTTTTAAATGGGAGCTCAGTAGCAGGTGCTTAACTCCGAGAAGGCCCTGGGTTTGAAACTCAGCATCATAAATCAACTAATAAACAGAAGGGGGGGGGGGCACAGTCCCTGATAAAAGCTTGAAGAAGCTGTCACAGAAGACACACCCTCAAGTGACACTAAAGGGTCCTTCCGGGGGGACAGAAAGCCTTGGTAGAGGCGACATACAGGGATATGCCGGCCAGTGTAAAACTAAGCATGGCTGTGTCTGCCCATAAGCCCACGTCCCTAAGTCTAAAGCCAGCTTGGGCTACATGGTAAAACCACAGATGACTCAGAAATGCAACAAAATCGCATTTTCTTGCTTAACCTTTCCCCTCTGGTTTGAAAGACAATTGCACAATGTGATAATTATGTGTTATGGGTATACAACATACAAGGATATAATCTGTGAAATAACATGAAAGAGGCAATGAAGAACTGATTGGAAAGGAGCACATTTTCATGCATTAATGTAGTTAAATCATCTGCTAATCCTAAACAGACCAAAGCAACTGCTCATTCCAAGGCTCAAAAACTAATTTGATGAGGTAGGAGCAAGAGACAGAATGCCTGCTGCACTGATATACAAAGGAACTGGTTTTGATCCCCAGTGCTGAAATAATTAAACCAACCAAAAAAAAAAAAACAAAAAAAAACAAAAGCAATTCAAATGCAGAAAGGCAGGAGGAGGTAGCTGAGTAAAAGGACAGAGAATGAATCCCTTTTCAACAGAAGATAACCATAACAAAGACTAGAGACAGCAAACACCAACTTTACCTTACAGGTAACTGCAGTAAAGTCACATTGCGTGAACCCCAAAACTCAGCACAGGATTTCGGGCTGCGACTAAGGCATACCTTGGTGACGTCATCTGATATGCTGTAGTCCAGAAACCTCAAGAGGGTCAGGTAGATGCGGAACTTGTTGAGCACAGCCGGCAGCACGGCCGCCAGAAGACCGTTCATGTACTCCTCCATGTTGGGTGGGATCAGCTGGGGCTGTAAGTGAATCTGGCAGTCTGCCTGGAAGAGGAAGATGAACTGATTTCCAAGTTCCTACATTCCATAGCCTACATTCTAGAGGATGCAGCTCTCAACTTGTCAGGGAATTAGAAAACACCATGTTTAAGGAGGGGGATATTTTTAAAATCTTAATGTACTCAATGTCTGACTAGATCATAAAAGACATGAAACCAGTGCAACGTGACAAGATCTTCTTCTTGAAGTCAGGCTAGCCTTGAACTCAGCAGAGGGACATCTGAGATGGGGAGGGCTCAACCAGTAGGGAGGCTTGCTGCCAAGCCTGATGTGAGGACCTGAGCTTGATCCCCAAGACCCACATGGTGGGTGGAGAGAACCGACTCCTCTCAAGTTGTCCTCCAACCTTGACAAAACAGCCACTGCACACGTACGCATGCATCACATGACCAGCAGGGGGAAAGGGACAAAGGAAGTAAGAACAGCAGTCTGGATTATTAAGGGGAATTAGCTTCTCTTTATTTCTAGATATGAGAGGTTCTCCTACCAGTAGCTTTGGTTATCTTGTGATTTCCTGGTTCGTAATAGTTATAAATTTTTACATTGAGGTAAAAAGAAATAACAGATTCCCTTGTTAATAATTAGCAGCTACAATCTCCTTTTTTGTAATCTGCTGATAGATTCAGAGCCCTATATAAGACAGGTAAGTGCTTTCCCACTGAGCTGCACTGAGGTGGGAGGGAGGTCTTGCTATGCTGCCCAGGAAGGATGTGACTTGACCTTTCAACCTCAGTCTCCTCCGTGTACAGATCACAGGCATGGACTGATACTCCAGGCTACCCACAATTCATAAACAAATGCAACTGACTGAAATGGCACGCAGTGCTGGGCTAAGGGGATGGCTCAGGCTGTAGAAGCAGACAGACATGGAGTGCACACCTTTGTGGGGCTGAGGAGATGGTGCGGCGATTGAGAGCGCTGACTGCTCCACAGAGGACAGAGTTTGCACCCTGGCACACACCCTGCGGGGCTTACAAATGCACTTCACTTGGGCTCCAAGCCAAACTTCCAACCCCCAGTTCTGGTTTCCGTGGGTATGAATGAGCACAGGCACACACCCACACTGATAAAACAGCACCACTTGGCGCTGAAGAGCTGGCGCCGTGGTGAGGAGCACGTGCCGTGTGCTTGCAGAAGATGGAGGCCTGGTTTCTAGCACCCACATGGTGATTCTCAGCCAACCCTAAATCCAGTTCCAGGGGATCAAATGCCCTCTTCTGTCCTCCATGGGTACCAGGGCACAAAATGGTGAGCATACAGACATACATGCACATAAAACATTCACACACATAAAATAAAATATTAAAAAAAATAAAATGTGTGACACACACATAAAACGTGTGTTTTGGGTTTTTTGTTTGTTTGTTTGTTTAAGACAAGGTCTCTCTCTCTATGTAGTCCTGGCTGTCCTGGAGCTCACTATGTAGAACAGCTGATCTCCAACTCACAGAGATCTGCCTGCCTCTGCCTCCCGAGTACTGAGAGAAGCATACCACACACCTGGCCCAAAAAATAAATCTTTTAAGACAAAAAAAAAAGAAAGAAAAAGAAAAGCACACAGCATTAAATCCCTAGAATCTATATAGAAATGATGGGTGTGGTGGTTTACCCTTGCAATCCCAGTGACTGGAGGCAGAGACAGGTGAATCTGGGGCCTGCTGGACAGTCAGACTAGCCTACTTGGCTAGGTGCAGGCCAGTAAGAGACCCTGTCTCAAAATGCAAGGGGTATGGTTCCCGAGAAACAACACTGGCCTCGACACACACAGACAATGTAAGAAATCAAAGGGGACAAAGTGACAAGAATCTTGGCACTGTAACCTCCCTCCACTCAACCATGAGCCATCATACCGGGAGTAGTGACCTCCCCTCAGATGTGATGAGAACGTTGATGTTGCACGGGAACTCCATCTGGTGGTAACTGAAGTCATAATCCACCTTCTGCCAGGTGATCAGGTTGCTCAGGGCAGTCACATTATGAACACCTGGAAGAGCAAGACTGTCACTGGCAGTGACATGATTTCAATCACCTACGCAAATCAGCTCGGCTGACACGGACCCTAAGACATGGGGTTTTCTGCTGCTTAAATAAAGGGACGGTGGCTGACAATTTAACAAGTGCTATGTCAGTAAGCCAGATGTTAACTAGATTTACTAAGCACCACAGGATAGCATTAGGTCAACTTGAACTTTCTGGAGCCAAAACTCACCAAATCTAATGCCAGACACAGAGTGGGACTCTGGCAAGTTCATTACTTCCTAGGTTATGGCTGTGATAAGATGGTTGTTGAGTTTTCCCAATTTATATATATTTGGGGACAGGATTTAATGAAGCCCAGGCTAGCCTTGAACTCCTAGTTCTCCTGCTGCTCAAGTGACAGGAATGCAGGTGGGTGCCACCGCCCTGGATACCCTGGCCTTACAGATTCCCAGGCCTCCCTTTTCACCTACTTTTAATGCCTCACCCTCACCCCAGCAGCGTCACCTGCATTCTGTCACGTGGACACGATCTAGCATGCTTTCTTGTCATTTTTTAACGTGTTCCATCATTGAGCTTCGTTTAAACCATATGATTTTTTCTCCAGAAATGATAAAAACTGTTTATGGGATGTATAATTTTTTTATTTATTTATTTTTTTTTTTGGTTTTTCGAGACAGGGTTTCTCTGTGTAGTTTTGCGCCTTTCCTGGAACTCACACTGTAGCCCAGGCTGGCCTGGAACTCACAGAGATCCGCCCGGCTCTGCCTCCTGAGTGCTGGGATTAAAGGCGTGCTCCACCACCACCCGGCTGTATAAAATATTACATTAAATCCTTTCTATCCTTTTTTGAGCTGAAAGGCAACTAACAGAATGTCACAATAAAACAGTTGGTGTACACAGTTTGTAGTACATGCCTTAGTTAAGTGCATATTTTAGAAGTATCTGTTAAATGTAAGTTTGCCTTAGAAGCCACTGCTAGATCTGGCTAAACAGTGAAGCCACAAGAGGACAGGAAGTGTCTGCATGCGTACCTGGGGTATCCAACTGCCCTTGTTCTAGAAGAGTTTCATCAATGACCAGCGACGTGTTGTTGGGCAGCTGGAGGAGACCACTGACCAATCGATTGGCTGTATAGTCTTTGTGGGGAATGAATTTCAACTGGTTCATGTTTTCTATCGTCATCTGCAGACGAAAAGACTGAAACAGAAATTGTAATGAGCAACGATCCAAGTTTCTCTATGAAAAAAATACACAAAGACACATATTTGGAGTCAAAACATTTGTGTTTCACATGGTATGATCTCATTTCTAAGGAAAACAAAATGGTCTCTGCAGCTCTTAAAAACTGGCCACAGTACAATCCATGCTTCTTATAGCTGCTTGGTCTCCGTTTTCAGCTGGACCTGGTGCATGCTGGAGAGATAAGGCCAGCCACAAACACAAAGAAAAGACATTTTTTTCGAGTCTTGATGAATAATTTTTACTCTGAAACAAGTGCTAGACAGCCAAGATTCAAACATCAGATACTCAGAAGCTGAACTTCATTAAGGCACAGGAGCTAGTAAAACACAAGAATTGTTGACCCTATTCACTGAGGCCAGAGAAAAGGCTCTGTGAATTGAAACGCCACTCCTTTAGCCTAGACCACTGCATGACACTGCAGCCCTCACTACCAACACTCCAGCCGGAGCATGGACCCTCCACATCCCTGCCCCCAGCCTCCACCACACTCAACACTCTCCTAGATCCTTCTACTCATGTATGTTCCAGCCTTCAGAAAAGCACAGGGTGGGAAAGTCTGTGGAAGAAGGAAGATTACAGCTGAAATTTAAGAGAATTTTAAATACTTTGGCTTAATTATTCTTAGAAAGGAGGGCAGGAATTCTTTACAGATATAGATGAAATCCCAGAAGAGGCAAGGCTTGTCCAAAAAGGTAGCTGGCTGCTGAGTTACTGTCCATAACTCCAGTTCCAGGGGACCGAACACCCTCTTTTGACCACCATGGGCACCAGGCATGTGCGTGCTGCACAGACATACATGCAAGGTAAACACTCATATACATCAAAGTTTTAACTCTTTAAACAAACAAAACAAAGGAGTGGCCATGTGCTGGGGATAAGGCCGACTCTGCCACAGAACCACAAGCAGGACAGTAACTAGCAGTAAAAGATGAATGCTCCTTAGAGAGAAGCGCATTGACAAAGGGCCTGGTGCCAGGATGCTAGAGTGATGACAGAGGGGACGGGTCAGTGAAGAGCTAAACAAGGAAAAGTGACCAGAACAAGATGCAAACACCTGCCACACTGGCTCCTCTAAGACCCTTGCTCCACCCTCTCCCATGTCAAAAAGTAGCCTGTGTCCTCAGTGTGCCAAGAACCTCTGGCCTCACAACTGAGCTCTGGACGGCCTTTGGCACCACCTTGTGTCTGAGGGCTGGTACTACACCAGCGTCTTTGCTGGCGGCATCCCTTATAAGCCATGCTGTTCATTACTGCCCGCTGTCCTCCATGTAGGAAGACATGACCCCAGGCAGCCACCAGGTCTGCTCCAGAAACATCCATGGTGTCTCAGACCCTTCTGGGTAGATGGGCATATAGGCACCGCCAGTGTCTAGTATCCCATTTCAAGAGCTTCATTGTTCCGCCGTGAATCTTTAAAGCACAGACCAACAGTTACTTTCTTGGTCTTGTACCACAAAAACATAAAACTCAGAGAACCTATTTCAGGAATTGTGGGCTTAGAAAGCTGCTAAGACCCTATTACAGAGTTTATGAATGAAAGTCACACACTTACCCTCATTCTTTCAAAACGGAAGACAGAATGATTTTTACCATAGAGACTGTGCAAACTCCAACAGGCTTTCAGATACTACCCCAGCTATCACCTAAGAAACACACCAGATCAAAACACACCACCACAGGTGCAAATGTGGAAACGGACTAGAAAAATCTAGGGTTCTCCTATTAATTTAGAAATCCAAGAGCTTGGCAAAATGCAATACAATGTCAGTTCTATCACTGTTTTGATAAATATATCAAATCATTCAACAGGTCTTCAGTTTTAATCACTAATGTCAGAAATTCGTGAAAGCATAGCAAGATGAATAAGTGGTCCTAGGTCCTCAGGACTCTGCTGCTTCTGCAAGGCCTGAAGTACAGACTGAACAGGCTGCTCAGTGAAGAATCTGGCTTCACTTTTTTCTTTTTCAAGACAGGGTTTCTCTGTGTAGTTTTGGTGCCTGTCCTGGAACTCACTCTGTAGACCAAGCTGGCCTTGAACTCACAGAGATCCGCCTGGCTCTGCCTCCCGAGGCTGGGATTAAAGGTGTGCATCACCACCGCCCGGCCTGGCTTCACTTTTTAAGTCCCAAAGAAGTGGCCAGCATTTTTAGTTACACAACTCATCAGAGCAATTCCCCTATCCCCGAGATCCCGACACACAAATGGTGCGTTCCAGATGCTTCCAAACAGTAACTAAACCTAGGGCATGAAGATGGTCTCCTTTATTACTTCAGTTGAGAAAACTGAGCTCATATAATTTAGGCTTATTTAGATTTCAAGTTTAATATGCACACAAAGGACCAAACTGAAGGACCAAACTGGCAGCGGCAGGAAGCATGATCTTAAGGGAGTCACTGGCATTGCATTAATTTTTAGATTTACAAATCTGTGCTGGGCCAATCAGTGTGAACACTGAGAGTACATTTTAAATTATGTCAATTGGCAGGTATCGTCCTTTGTAAATGAGATCCACCAGGAACACAAAGTACTTGACATAAAATAATTGGATTTGTTGTTCATAGTACTTCATAATATTATCTTACTGCTGGAACAAGGTGTTGAATGATCCGATATAGGTGTTCTGTGAAGGTACTATTTTGTGGGCAGCCACTCAGGTTAACTGTAAATTTTCCTAGTGGAAGAACATCTCTTCTTGTATATCTAGAAAAGGGGAAAAGAAAAAGAAAAAACAAAAACAAAGGTAAGATATTGAAATATCATCATTAGACATTTTGCAGAAGCAGGAAGAAATGGCTCAGCGGTTAAGAGCACTGGCTGCTCTTCCAGAAGACCAGGGTTCAATTCCCAGACCCCACATGACAGCTCCCAACCATCTGTAACTCCAGTTCCAGGGAGAATAAGATGCCCTCTTCTGGCCGCCACCGGCACTGCATGCACAGATATGCAGGCAACAGTCACACACATAAAATAAAAGTACATTTAATTTTTTTTTTTGCAGAACATAGGCTATTTTATCTATCAGAACAGCAGCAGTTAAAAATAAAAGTCAATACTTAAACTACTGCGCACTCTTCACCCCTCTCCAAACATTTCGAGGTGGGCTCTATTAAGAACTCTGAAGTACAAGTAGAGTAACCCTTATCCAAAATGCTGAGACTTGAAATGCTTCAGAATGTTTGCAGACTTCCCTGGCTAAGCATGCATACTATAAGCTCGTAGTTACTGCTTCACAGTTTGACTGAAGCAGGATGCCTGTGGCTCTGTTTACTCAGACTTACCAGTATTTCAGGCTTTTCCATTAGGGATGGAATAGTCTAACACAGGCAGAGCTCTGATGTGAACCCTGCTTTCAAGCATTACATATTGTCTTAGATGCCACCAGAAGAAAGGGAAGATTTACAATGGAAAGATGTTTACTACAACAGCATTTACTATATGTATGTGCGCACACACACACAAAGTGCGAAGATCTAACGTTTTGGGAAATGGTTACAGTATGGCACAAATTTATAATGAAATAGAATACAGTCATTAGAAAGCTTGTGAAGAAGGCAGGGTGTGGTGGCATGTCCTCAATCCCAGCACTCAGGAAACAGAGGCAAAAGGATCTCTATATGAGTTCCAGGCCAGGTCCATAGTGATACCCTACTTCAAAAAAGTATTATGGTGGGAAAATGGAGCTAACTAAATACTGAATGTGAAAAGCAAGATAAGGATCTGTGCTTCAACCACAACTGACAAATCCACATTAGTAAACACAACACACGGACCTAAACCAAAGAACAGGCACAGGTGGTAAAGGGAAGAGGCTGTCTGTCAAGTGAGAGCAGGCAACATCCTTTCTGTTAGCAGGACACATTATTTTGTAAGCAAAACAAAAAACCTGTCGGGTGGTGGTGGTGCACACCTGTACTACACTCAGGAGGCAGAGACAGGCAGATCTCTGAGTTTGAGGCCAGTCTGGTCTATAGAGCAAGTTCCAGGACAGCCAGGGCTACACAGAGAAACCCTGTCTCAAAAAGCCAAAAACTAAAAAGGAAAGGGGTGGGGGGGATTAAAGTCAATACAAATTAAATACAATGTAAATTAAAGTTAATTTACAAATTAAATACACACAAAGACAGGCATCACCATTTTACAAGCAGAGCCAGGAGAAGTAGAATACAAACAGTCCGCGGCTGCCACTCCATGGTAAAGCACATGCCTAGTGTGTACAAGAAAAGATGGGATAGCTCACTTCACTCATCAAGCAGGCCCTGTCTGGTCTTGCCTCTAATGTTTACTAAGAGGACATAATCAAAATGTTCTGTGTGAAAGGTGAAAAAGGAAACTGTATTTGGTGCAATATCTGTATTTGGAACAAAAAATTCCCCTTGAAGATGAACTGATAAACAAGTGAACCCCCAGCTGTTCCCATCCACTCTTTACCCACACCTCAGCTGTAGTAGAATATGATTTTAAGGTGTGTTACTTTGTTTTAACTCTGTGAAGCTGTGTTACTGTGCCTGTGTAAAACACCTGATGGTCTAATAAAGAGTTGAATAGCCAATAGCAAGGCAGGAGAAAGGATAGGTTGGGCTGGCAGGCAGAGAGACTATATAGGAGAAATCTGGGAGAAAAAAAAAAAAAGAGACAGAGGAGTGAAAAGATCTAGAAGGAACCAGAGAAGGGGAGGACATCAGGGGCCAGCCACCCCGCTACACAACCAGCAAGTCATGGAGTAAGAGTAAGATTTACAGAAGTAAGAGAATGGGAAAAGCCCAGAGGCAAAAACTAGGCAGGATAACTTAAGAGAAGGAAAGCTGGCTAGAAACTAAGCCAAGCTAAGGCCAGGCATTCATAATTAAGAATAAGCCTCCATGTGTGATTTATCTGGGAGCTGGGTAGCACCCCCCGCTCCCCCCAAAGAGCAGAAACAATACTCCTCAGTCCCCACAAAGAGCACAGCACTTACACTGTTGAGATGAGATGCAGGATAAGGTACTCAGCGGCCAAACTATCTCCCAAGAGCGCGTGAGTGAGGAATCCAAGCAGCTCTGCTCTGACCGGAGACAACTCGGACATGAAACTGGACACAACTGCGGAAGGAAGCAGGCGGGCGGCAGGTGAGTGTGCACACAGCTCTGCACCAGCTCTCAGTGCAAGAACAGCAAGGGACGCTACAGGTCTAGAGACGATGAGCAAGAACTTAGACTAATGGCCAACAGATGATGCCAATGTTAGGGTGGGCAAGATGGCTCCCGGAATAAAGGCACTTGCCACCAAGTCTGTTGACCTGATGAGCTAAGTTTGATTCCCAAGGACACACACAGCACAAGGAGAGAACTGACTCCTTTAAGATCCCCTCTTCCCTCCACATGCATGCCTTGGCACATGCATGTTCTATCCCCCCCATAAATAAACGTAATCTAAAAAAATTAAAAAGTGATGTCAATATTGGAACAAAGACATAAACCCTTTGTTCTTGTTTAGGTCTCATTTCAATGACAAGAATCAATGGAAGAGGAAATGGGGCAAAGCCACAGACGTTACTAGAAAACTCACTCTGCTGAGCAGGGGCTATGGCCCACATGGAGGTGAACTGCCGGTCATGGGCTCCAACACTTACACTTACAGGTTCTGCTCTCTTCCTTGTTAAGGCAAGTGGGTAACAAAGGATTGATGTGCTGCAACTTCTGGGCTAAAATCACATGAATTCTTGGCACTAACGAAGCTGGAGGACTATGTACCCTCTGCTCTTCTGCCATGTCTGTGCACTCCATGGGGTCCAGGAGTGCAGAGGCATCCCTGTGGAGAGAGGGATATGCTGGTTTAGAGATGCCCAATAGCAAAGGTGTAAAAACAACATGCACTCTGAAGACAGACTCAGACTCCTACTCAAGGATTCTCCATCGCCCAATTGCAGAACGTGGTCCCTCAATCTAAAGTGCTGGGTCGTGATACTGCACAGCGGGTTTATTCTACTGCCCAGGACCAATGTGTTTAGTAACTCAGTGAGCTAACAGCGCCATGCACATGACAGAGGATGCCATTTCACATCAGTGCTCCTTGACTCCTCAGCACATCACAACACTGGAATCGTTTTCACAACTGTTTATTACTGAGTGTGGAAAATCATTCACCTCTATCTTGCTAATGGTCTTTGCTAAATTTTATTCTTGCGTAATGCTCCATCTCTCTTGAAAGTATGGACAAATGATTAAAACAGTGTGAACATTCAGGTTTGCTAAACAATTTGAATATGATAGACTCACAAAGAAATAACTGAGCAAATGACTAAATGTGTCAAGTCTTCATCTATACTATGCACAACGGCCAACACCACACACACAAACTCCATCAGATCTCACAAGTTCACAAATCCACCCAAGTCTGCTCCAGTCTGTGCTCCTCCCCCTGAATCCAGAAGCCTCAATAATCAAGTAATTTAGAAGGAAAGTTGTTGGATGTGGTGGCACGTGCCTTTAATTAAAGAATACTTTAATTCTCAATACTCAGGACGCAAATGCAGGCAGATCAATGTGAGTTGAGTTCAAGGCCAGCCTGGTCTACAGAGACCTAGACAGCCTGGTCTACAGAGACCTAGACAGCCTGGTCTACAGAGACCTAGACAGCCTGGTCTATAGAGACCTAGACAGCCAGGATACACAGAAAGACCTTGTGGGGGGCGGGGGGATTATTTGCCAACATTTTTGTATTGTTTTCTTTTTCCTTTCTTTTTTTTTTTGGAGACTAGTCCTGGCTATAGTGGAACTTACTATGTAGAACCAGGTTAGCCTTGAACTCAGAGGTCCACCTGCCTGTGCCTTCTGAGTGCTGACATTAAAGGCTTGCGCCACCATGCCTGGCTTTTTCCAATATTTTTAAGTGTGTATAGAAAGCCAATGACCACCCAGCATCCAACAAGTCCCACAGGTGTGATGGGGCCAGTCCTTCCTTCTCTTTGGCAAAAGGAAAGACTGAACAAGGTCTAGATGTCCACATTTTGCTATACAATTAAAAAAATAAAAAATAAAAAACACACAAATATAGCATCCCTTATTGAAGAAAAAAAAGGGTGGGAATGAAATATATGTAGCTACACTCTTTCCCAAAGGGTAAATACAGGAGGTACAGTCAGAGACTAAGATTCTGGTTCCCAGTGGAGCGGGACCAAAAGAGAAGGGATGGAGACACACAAAGGTACTCCTGGGCACTTTTGGGATAACACAGTCCTTCTAGTTCTGTAGTAATGGAGAAAGCTGGGAAATGAAATGGAGCCACAAATGAATCTACCTGAAACAAACACCAGAATCAAAATGGCCACTGTGGAGTATTGTATTTTAAAAATGGCAGGAAGGAATCACACCATACAACAGGGCCCACGCAGGAGGTTTACTGAGAGGATGGGAGAGAAGGGGGCAGAGACTGGTCCCTGGGGATGAGGAAGAGAAAGAGAAAGGTGTACAAGGCCCGCCTTTTATAAGGAAACTAGCGGATGCGCACAGGGGGTGCTCTTAGTGGCTGCAGCTGAGGTCTATCCTGTCAGGACCCTCAGGGCAGGCCAGTACAGACGCCTGAGTGCTAACAGAGAGGAGCACTCTGAATACAAAGCCCCACTCTAAAACAAAGGGGTGCTGGCTGCTGGTGCTGGCCTACGCCTGTAATCTGCCTGTAATCCTAGCATTCTGCAGCGGTGGAGGACTTAACCCGAGTCTGAGGCCAGCCTGGTCCACACAGTGACACGCTGTCTTAAAAGACAAGACATGAAAACAAAGACATTGGACACAGACACTGAACGCTCAATCCTGAGGCTCTGCCTAGAGAGGCCCTGCTCACCAATTCTGTAAATAACTTCTGTGTGCACTGTAGACCTGAGCAGGACACACTGAGGACAGTGAGCATCCACTTACAGAAGAAGAGAGGGCAGTGACAGGGCCTGTGCTGAGGAGTGTGAACGCAGGGCTTTTTCCACGTTAGGTAGCCCACGCTGGTCTAGAATTCAATTCTTTCTATCTCAGCCTTCCAAGTGCCGGGATTATACATGTGTATCACCATGCACAGCAAATTCATGGCTTTTCATGGAAAATACAGAAATACATTTTAAAATTTTAGTATGCGTGTGGGGGAGGATCCCTATCTGTTACCCTCTACAAAACTCAACTCCAAATGAATCACGTAGGGTATGCACTTGAACTTAAAGGCTCAGGACGACTTTCTAAACAGGACCCCAGAGGACAGGCATTAAAACTAACAATTGACAAATGCGATCACGTGGAAGTCCTTAGAGATGGCACAATCTTGAAGAAGCAGAAGTAGAGGTCCCTAGAGAATTGGAGTTAAGGAACTGGGTTTTTCTTCTCCCTATCTTTCATACCCTAGCCACTAGATGAGTATTTTCTTCTCAGCCACACTTCCCACTATGATACAATACCTCCATACGGAGCAAAAGGGCCCAGTGCATGTGATGGGAACTCCACAATCGTGAGCCACACACTGACTCTCTTTGTAAGTGGATGATCTCAGGTATAAGGACAGAAAGCTAACTAACAGTCTCCTAGCTCCATTCATCACTTAGGATCCAAAAATGAACCAACCCAGTATCAATTAGTACTTATTCTTGACTTAAATAAAATTCCTCACTAGAAGAAAATGCTTTCCTGGAAAAACTAGACAGTAATAAGCTGGTACATACAAAGTGCAAGTTGCTTAATGTGACAGAAAATAAATACTGAAAATGGTGAGGTCATCTTAAGGACCTAGAGTTGTGGAATATTATTTTAATTGGGCAGAGATATGCTGCATATGTTTAACTATGTAAAGCCGTGTTAGAAAAAGTTGAACAGCCAATAACTAGGCAGAGGAGGGATAGGTGGGGCTGGCGGGCAGAGAGAATAAGTAGGAGAAGGATTCTGGGCTTGAGGGAAAAGGAATCAAGGAGAACAAGAGAGACGGGGAGAGAGCCAGGATCAGCTAACCAGGGAGAGAGGAGACAGCCAGGATCAGCTAACCAGGGAGAGGGGAGACAGCCAGGATCAGCTAACCAGGGAGAGAGGAGACAGCCAGGATCAGCTAAGCAGGGAGAGAGGAGACACCCAGGATCAGCTAACTGCCAGTCAGACATGGAGTAGACCATACAGAATGCGAGAAAAGTAAAAAGCCCAGAGGCAAAACATAGATGAAGAGAAACAGGTTAAATTAAGTTTAAGAGTTAGTGGGACAAGCATGAGCTAAAGGACGAGCATTCATAACTAATAATTCACCTCTGTGTCATGATTTGGGAGCTGGTTGGTGACCAAAAGAAAGTATGCTGTGGGCTGGAGAGACTAGCTGCTCTTGCAGAGGTCCTGAGTTCAATTCCCAGCAACCACATGGTGGCTCACAACCATCCGTAATGACATCTGGTGCCCTCTTCTGGCATGCAGGCATGCATGCATGCAGAACATTGTATACATAATAAATAAATAAATATTAAAAAAAAGAAAAAAAAGAAAGTATGCTGCATACAGTTTGATCACTGTGGCTCCTACTAGCTGAATCTGGGAAAATCTGAGTCTCAAATGACAGACTAATATTGAATAAAATGAAATTCCAGTGGTCCATACTGACATAAAGAAATTTCTTGACTACTGTAGGAGGGATACAGTACAAAATGACTACTGTGGCAGAGACAAAGTTAATGAAGAGCCTCTGAGAGACACAAGTCAACAGGTGCCAGACATTTGTATCTTCACATAAACAAAAGTATCTTTCAAATTATTAATGATGCTGGTTGTGGTGGCGCTGGTAGGATTTGCTGAAAGAGGCGGAGGCAGGAGGATCACGAGTTGGATCACGAGTTCGAGGCCAGCCTGGGCTACACATTTTGCCAGGCGGTGGTGGCACACACCTTTAATCCCAGCACTTAGGAGTAGGAAACAAGAAGTGAAATGGCTAGGCAGAGAGAAAGTGAAGAGAGAAAGTGCTAAGGCGGGTGGAGACAGGAGCGTGGCCCCTTTCAGGCTGAGGATTTGGTAGAGGTAAGAAGACTCTCTAGTGGCTGGCTCCTTTATAGATCTTTCAACATTTACCCTGATATCTGGCTCTGGGCTTTTATTCGCGCTACCAAAGTGAAAGGCACTAACAGGACAGGAGACACCATCTTAACTGAGCAATGGATATTAATGACACTCTCAAGCATCAGTGGCACAGCACTGGGAAGACTGATGTAGCCTGGCTAATTCCCATATCAAGAGGTTGCAGGGATGGAGTGACAGTGGTACATAAAGAGCAGTAATGACAAGCACATGGGGCATGGGTGGTGGCAACTGGTAAATCTGAAGACAGGAAAGGAAGTTCTTTGTAACCATCCTCTACCACTGTTCTGAAATTATATCCAACGAAAAAGTAACAAAGAAAAACCTAGCAGACAGACTCACCTTTCTTCATTATTCAGTATGCTCAGGACAGGGTCCACAGACAGCACACCATATAACTCAAGAACATCGTTGACTTTGAAGCAATCCCAATCTTCATAGACCTGAGGACAACACAAAATCAGGTTAACACTGAATGACATAACCAAGAGCAGCCAAGTACTCGCCAGCCAGACAGAGAAATCAGCAAGCATGTGAACAACCATGCTCCCACAGAGGCTGGCCATCAGTCAAAGCCAACCCAGAGCCAGGGATGTCCACAGAGCCTACCTGGCTGGTCCAATACTTGCTCTATGGCACACACTGACCTTAGACTCAAAGCAATCCTCAGGTCTCTACCTCCCAAGTGTGGGAACTGATGGTATATGACACTACAATCAGTTTAATTTAGTTTTTGCATCGGGGCCATGTTACTGTAGCTCAGGCTAGCCTTGAATTCTTGATCTTCCTATCTCAGCTTCTAGAATGGTGGGATTACAGGCATGTGATGCAACACCCTTTATTTTAAATACAAGTGAGAAGTGGGTTTTGAAAAGAAAGGCAAAATAGCAGAAAAAAATTATAAAGTCAGAAATGACACAGGAAGGAAATAGGCATGAATTTTAAAGTTGTTCCACTTTTGAATATGACTTTTCCCCTTTGGTTTTGTGAAATGGTGCACTAGCTAGTTTTATGTCAACTTGACACAAACTAGAGTCATCAGTGAGGAAGGAGCCTCAATTGAGAAAATGCTTCCATAGGACTGGGCTCTAGGCAAGCCTGTAGGGCATTTTCTTAATTAGTGTTTGATGTGGGAGGGTCCAATCTATTGTGGGTGGAGCCATCCCTGGGCTGGTGGCCCTGGGTGCTATAAGAAAGCAGCAAGCCATGAGGAGCAAGCTGGTAAATAGCACTTCTCGCATGGCCTCTGCATCAGCTCCTACCTCCAGGTTTCTTGTAGAGACCCACAGAGGTTTCCTAGTGAGAACTTACTCAGGGTCCGAGAATTCGAGCTTGCTTCACCCAGCAGGGCTGCATAAAGGAGATGATTTGACCACTGGCGCGGTTACGCGGTGTTTGGAAGGGTCTACACTTGGCTGTAATGGTGTGCTTTGATCTAGCCAGGGGGAGGTCTTTTTGCCCTGCCCCTTGGCATTGTTATAAAAAGCCCCTTTTGAAGAGGCTGAAGGGGCTGTTGGGTTTTGACCCAGGTCCTCCCAAAGCTATCCTGTGTTTCTGTCTTTCTCCTCTTCGCTATCTTTCTATCTAAAAGTTTCTTATCCCTCTTCTCCTCCTCATAGGAACCCTTTTAAAAGGTAGGAGCTGGCCTCCCCACAGTTTCTGCCCTACTTAAGTTCCTGTCCCGACTTCCTTTGATGATGAACTAATTGCAAGTGTAAGCTAAATAAATCCTTTCCTACCTAACTTGCTTTTGGTCATGGTGTTTATCACGGTAATAGTGACCCTGACTAGGACATGGGGTCTCACTATGTAGCTCGGACTGGGTTTGAATTCTCCACCCTTCTTCCTCTATTATAGGCATATGCTATCACCCAATTGGCTCCACATTGGCCAATTCTTTAACAATGTTGTGGTAGCCAAACTAAGGAGTCCCCAAAGATGGTTATAGCCCAACCACTGGAATGCTAAGTATGTTACTTCACATGCAAAAGGAACTTGGTGTGGTGATCAAGGACCCTGAGGTGGTGATATCCTGGATCATCTAAGTGGGCTCAGTGTCAAAGTTCTGATAGAAATGCGGTATAAAAAAATATGGTCAGGAAGATGTAGTGTTGCTGTCTTAAAGATGAAATGTAGGCAGCCTCTCAAAGCTGGAAGAGGCAAAGGACAACCAGATCCTGTCCTCCCTCTGCTCCTGTAGACCTCCAGAAGAGAACATGGCCTCCGGGTACCTGGTTTTATCCAGTTCTCATGTCAGACTGATGGCCTTAAAGTGTAAAATAACTTTCATTGTTGTAAATGTCTAAATCTGGAATAATCTGTTATAGTGGCAAAAGAAAGTTCAGGCAAATGCTGAGGCTTTTCTAACGCTTCATTTCTGAGGTAGTAACATCTGTGGATAGAGCTAGGAAAGGCTGTACCTTAACGAGGCAGGCAGGGCCCTTCTCTCCTGGCAAGGGGAAATTCAGATCGAAGGGGGAAGGGAGGTTCAAGGAGTTCAGCTGCTGCCCAGTAGAAGCTTCAGTTTCTAAGCGTTTCGGCTCTCCGCACCAGTGAAGGCCCCCAAGGCCCCCTAGACTCAAACAGCATTGCATGAGGTCACTTCTAAGCCCTCCAAAAAAGAACATTCCAAAAGTGCTTTTCAAGTTTGACATAAATCATGTTTGTGAGTTGAAAAAGGCTCATGTCCAGTTTTAATAACATTGTTTGACTTATCCCAGAACAAAGATAGATACACACCTAAAATATTTAATTCCTTTCTTACTATGAAATGGCAACAAACTACTGCATCAAATATAATGGAAGTATTTTGTTTCTTTTCTTTTTTGAGACAGGGTCTCACTCTGGAGTACAGGCTGGCACTGAACTCTACAGGTCATCCTCCTGTCTTAGTCTCCTTAGTATTAGGATTTCAGATAAAAGCAGATGTAGGTACTCATGTAAGTACTTTTAAAAGTTAATTTCATCCCACCCAACTATGACACTTAGGAAGCCCATCAATGACCAGGACAACATGATATCCCTAAGGGTGCAGCAGTGGCACACACACCTTGGTGTAACCAACAGCTCTCTGATTGGACTTGAGACCCACTCAACAAGAGGGAGACCATGCCTGGAAACCTAGCTAACTGCTCAGTGCTGGTGAAGTTAAGGTTACTAAAGGAGAATCTACAACCTAATTTACTAAACCAGCACAATCCCTAATGACAATCTATAAAGAGTTATCCTTACACCCACAAGTGTAGTCTCTCTTTTGTAACAGATGAAGACCACTACAGAAAATCACAACCAATCAAACACAATGGATGCATCTACAAAACAACTCCTGCACCCAAGGCTCAGGAACTTGTAGACAAGGCGGCAGAAAGGTTGTAAGAGACAGAGAATCAGCGACTTTGCAGTGAGATTGTGTCTCCCAGTAACACTGGAAATTCCACCTGTGAAGTCTCTCCAACATGACTGCCTAAATGTGAGCTGAACAAGGACACCAACAAACATGCCGGATTGCATGGGAAAAAGCCCCTAAGTCTGCAATAAGAAGTACATGAAACTGAGTAAAGCTGGGAACAGGAAAGACAAATTGGTTGTCTAATGCCAAACAGTCATGCCTGAAAACATATATACAATTAACATTATATGCACTCAACAGGTTATATTTAGGAATATATATATATATATATATATATATATATATATATGCACAAAATAACAGTTGATTGAAAGAAGCCATAAATTTGAAGGAGAGCAGGGAGGGGTACACAAGAGGGTTTGGAGGGAGGAAAAGGAAGGGAGAAATGTAATTAAAATACAATCTTAGCCAGGCATGGTGGCACAAGCCTTTAATCCTGGCACTGTGGAGGCAAAGGCGTGAGGATCTGAGTCTGAGATCAGCCTCTTCTACATAATAAGCTAAGACAGCCAGGGCTGCACCTGTCAAAAACCTTAAAAATAAATGACAAAAATATATATTTATATTTTAATAAAAAAGTTAATTTCAGGGTCTGGAGACAGTTCAAGGGTTAAAGCACTGGCTGCTCTTGCGGAGGACCCAGGTTCAGTTCCCAGCACCCACAAGGTGACTCACAATCACCCCTAACTCCAGTTCCAGGGATCTCATACCTTCTTCTAACCTGTGTGAGTATTCATGTGGTGCACAGACATACAGGCAGGCAAAAATTCACAAAGAGAAAATAAATTTAAAAAAATTCTGAATTAATTTCAATGTTGTTACTTGGGTACTGCTGACAGCCAGGAATAGATACACAGAATGAATAACTGGTTCTGAGGATGGCAAACTCGGGTGGTCAGGTCCTCATCAACCCCGACTCTGTCTGAATATCTGGTAAATGGATTTCTTTTTATGTGACTTTATCATACTTAAAAATAGGAAAAGACTACGTCTCCCAACGTTTTCTGTTGTCAGTACAGCATCTGTTCTTTAGATATCAAAGATACCCACATATATACAGAGAATTAATAAATGTAAAAATAAAAACTAACGCCTTTAATCAATCCCAGCACTCGAAGGCAGAGGCAGATGGATCTCTGAGTTCAAGGCCCATCTGGTCTACAGAGCTCCAGGAGAGCCAGGGATACACAGAGAAACCCAGTCTCGAAAACTAAAATGAATGAATGAATGAATGAATAAATAAATATTAAACCAGGTGTGGTGGCACACGCCTTTAATCCAATACTTGGGAGGCAGAGGCAGGCAGATCTCTGTGAGTTTGAGGCTAGCCTGGTCTACAAAGTGAGTTCCAGGACAGCTAGGGCTATTACACAGAGAAACTCTGTTGTTACACATAGAAACCCTGTCTTAAAAAACCAAAAACCAAAAAGAAAAAAAAACAAAACCAAAAACCCTGGGTGTCACTATTAAAGTTATGGGATTTCTCTGTATCACTTCTCACAATGCTGCCTTACTCTACTGATCTCAAGAGAGGAAGTTTAAAAAGTCTACATAGCCTGAAAGAAAAACCTCGAAATTAACAAGCAGCACACTGCATCAGTGTACAAAACTTTGCAGTCCTCAACACTCAGACAAATGGAAGAAACAGAAGCAGCACCTGCATGAGTGAACAGAAAGAAAACTACCACATTCCCTGGATTCAGTGGTCACTTATAACACACTGTTAACCTGAGTGAACTTTAAGGATAAAGAATACTACCCCTTCTGTGTTCACCACCTATAAAAATTCCAATTTTAAAAACATTAAAATGCTAACTAGCATTAGCCTGGTGGTAGTGGCACATGTCTTTAATCCCAGCACTCAGGAGGCAGAGGCAGGGGATCTCTGTGAGTTGGAGGCCAGCCTGGTCTACAGAATGAGTTCAGAACAGCCAGGGCTACACAGAGAAACCTGGTCTCAAAAAACAAAAACAAACGAAATCAGTATTCTAACCCTATAAAACACAATTACAAATGCCAATCCACAATACAGTCAAATGAAATTTATCAGTATAGCTTTATATTCTTGACTGTTCAATAAGCTCTCTCAACCCTACCTTAAAGACAGAGATTCTCACTTTTGAGGGGAAGTGACCAGCGCAAAAAGAAGAAAGAAGGCAAACTTGTCTACTCGCCATATGACGAAAGTCACTGCTCATTAAGTCCAAGAATGAAAGAAATAACACATGGAGATTCAGAATTCTTAAGCTCTTGGACATCAACTGCTGTCTCCAGGGTACATTAGAATTAGCTGTACTTGAACCTAGGGTGGTGGTGCACACCTTTAATCCCAGCATTCTGGAGGCAGAGGCAGGCAGATCTCTGAGTCTGAGGCTAGCCTGGACTACAGAGTGAGTTCCAAGACAGCCAGAGCTACACAGAGAAACCCTATCTAGAAAAACAAAACAATAACACTTCCCCACCCCCAAAATAAAAGAATTAGCTGTACTTAAGAAAAAATGAATTACAAATTCATCTTGCAAATTGCATTTTTTTCCTTTGATATTTCTGGCCTTAAAAAATTCAACAGAAGCGTGGTGGTGGTGGTGGCGTATGCAGGAGGCAAGTGGATTTCTGTGAGTTTAAGAGTTCAAGGCCAGCCTGGTCAACGGAGCTATTTCCAGGACAGCCAGAGCTGTTACACAGAGAAACTCTGTCTTGAAAAACAAAACAAAACAAACAACAACAACAACAACAACAAAAATCAACAGAAATATCATGGTTCTAAAAATAAAGCAAGAAAGGATGTTTTCAGCTAAGTCACTTTCAGGGTGACTAAAAAGTACGACTATGCATTCTATTGTTCAAGAATTGGGACAACAATTATGAAGACAGAAAAAGACCTTTTTTCCAGTCAACCACTTGAAACTAAAAGCATCCATTAGAGCAGCTTTCCAAAGAGTACTCACTGTAAAAATGCTCAAAAGTATCTACAATACACCCACCCCAGTTGCTAGGAACGGAATCAGGGCCTCATTCCTTCAAGGCCGAAGTTCTCCTACCCAGCTTCACTATGACCAACACCATCCAGTTATGATGAATGTGAACTGAGGTTATCATACCACACCAGTTCCCAGTCTAGAACTACATTAGGGAGCATCCCTGAAAACAAACCCAGATGTCAGGAGGAAGCTGAGGGCATACATTACCTGCCTGCCGGGCACCTGCATGCTGGTCTTTCTGTTTATTGGGCTGTAGGTCCATATCTTCATCATCTTCATAACTCCTCTTGTGCCGACTGGGAGTATAGGAAGTTGAGGGACTGACTCGAGCTTGGTTTGCATTGACATAGGCGTTAAATAAAAGGTTAAGAAGGCAATCACCTTGAACCAGATTATAATCCTAATGCTAATCGTGCTAATCACATGGTTATAAAACATCACCAGTTTGACAATTCAGTTAAAAGGAAGTACTTTTTAAAGATTTATTTATTTTTATTTTATGAGTTTTGCTTACAAGTATGTTTGTATACCACATGCACGCATTGCCCTTGGAAGCCAGAAGAGGGTGTCAAGACTCCCTGGACCTGGAATTACAAGCCATTCTGAGCAGCTATGTGGACACTGTGAACCAAACCCAGGTCCTCTGCAAGAGCAGCCAGTGTTCTGACTAGCTGAGTCATCTCTCTGCTCCTAAAGACTTTTGAAAGGAGGCTAGACTGCCAGTTTTTGTCATGAAAGTAAGAGGGTGTCGTCCACCTCCTCTCAGTAAAAACAACAAGACCGGACAGCACAGAGGAAGTATCTGTCCGCAGGCACTGGACAACAGTGAAGGGAAGATCCTTGAATAAGGAGACACAGCCCAAGGAAAAACTTCACATCCTTCACATCCAAACTATAGCTAAGATGAGTAGAATTCTATCTCTTGCTGGATGGAGGAAACAAAGGCCAGAGCTCAGAGTCACAGAAACAGCAGAAATTTGCAAAAGGGTACCCAGAGGAAGCAGCGGTACACAGCAGACCCAGGAAACTTTCTCTCTAGCCAAGCACCAAGCTGCAGCTTCTAACTCAAGTTTCTCGTTCCTGAAGGCCTAGCAGAGAAATTAAATGGAGACTGCACGCAAGCATCACACATGAACCTGACAGAACATCCCAGGCATTTAAGAGCTAACCAGCCCACGTTGTTGTTGAGGGGCTATGTCTTGTGGAACAGGAGTAACTCTATAACCCATCTTGATAAATTCCTAAACCACTCCTTGACAAGAAAAACGTGATCCAACATACCAACTGCTAAAACCAAATTCAACCTCTTAGAAGACAGGAAACTCAACTCTACAATACTGCTTTTTAGCAGATAATAAAACAGTAGTTAAGTAAAGAAACAGAAAATCTGACCTAGTATCAGATTTTTAAATCAGTGCAAGTAAACCCAGAGATAAGAGACTCTGGAATTAGTGGGTAAGGATTTAACAGAAAGGTAACTTGAAATATTAAAGGACAGAGCTGGAGATGTAGCTCAGTTGTTAGAACAGTTGCCTAGCTGCATAAGCCCTGAGTTAACCCCTACCACTCCATAAGCAGGTGTGGAGGTGCATGCCTGTAATCCCAGCACTCTAGAGGTGGAGACAGGATGATCAGAAATTCAACGTTATCCTCGGAGATAAGGCAAATTCAAGCCCAGTTTAGGATACGTGAAACACTATCTCAAAAACCAAAAGATGATGAGTAAACAGACGAGGAATATTCACAGAGAAATAGAAACACAGAAATAACCAGATGGAAAATGAATCTGAAAATAGACGATGTGAAATGAGGGACACAACAATAACCCCCAAAATACCACCTGTTGACCCTGCCCCACCCCAGACCACTCAGAACACACAGGCACCAGTGGCCTGATCATAGACAGAGATGGAGGGAAAACAAACCAACCAGAAACGAGGGAACCTGAACACAGGTTAACATTAACAATCCAACTAAAGCAGAATGAGGCAAAAAAAAAAAAAAAAAAAAAAAAACCCAACCCATCAAACAACAAAACTCCAATAAGTGGGTGTGCTCGGTGGGAGAATGCTTTGCCTTCTTCTAAGGAATTGGGCTCAACTTCTAGCAAGAAGAGGATTTAAAACACAAACAAGCAAAAATGAACAAAAGATGACTTTGAAAAGAAAAGATCAGGCAGTCTTATAATTATGTGACTGACATTCCAAAAAAGGGCTGGGAAGAGAGCTCAGACCATAGAGCTTGCCTCCCCAGGGCACGCATTGCCAAACAACAAACAAACCCCAGCGCTCACTCGCTCGCGCTCTCTCTCTCTCTCTCTCTCTCTCTCTCTCACACACACACACACACACACACACACACACACACACACACACTCATACAGTCTAATCCGTGTTTCACATACTGAGATTAGGACAGAAAAAATATTTGAAGAAATGCCTAAATTTGTTGCTGAAAAATATCCACAAACTGGAAAGCTCAACAAAACCCAATTAAGAGAAGCATGTTTCCCAAGAAAAAGGGCAAGGAGACCCTCAAACTCCCAAACCAAAAAATCCACACCCGGGCACCCCATAGTTAAAAGGCTGCCAACAAAAGAGAAAGAGGGTCTGAGAAGCAGCAAAAGGAGCACAAAAGACACACTCTACAAAAGGATAATGAGAATGATAGCTAACCTTTCAGCGGAAAGGAGCGGAGGCCGAGAGAGCGGCACTCTATCATTAAAACACGACTGAACAAAGTGCGTGTCAGTCAAGAACTTTACATTTAATGAAAATCTCCGTCAAAAATGGAAGCTGAAAAGAGTTGAACTTTCATGAAGGAATTCACCACCCTCAGACCTGTTCTTAAAAAAAATAAAAAAGGAGGGGGGAGGGCCTAAGGGAAATAATTTCACACAAAGAGAATCAGAGATAGTGAATATGTTCTCAAGTATAAATAATGTAGCTTTTTCTCAGTTTATACAGAAGACAGGTGACTGTTAAAACAAAGGGCCGGAGAGATGGCTCAGCAGTTAAGAGTACTACTGTGTTTTCTCCAGAGGGCCAGAGTTCAGTTCCTATACTAACGTCAGACGACTCACAACTGCCTGTAACTCTAGCTCCAGGGTAGTCAATGCCCTCTCCTAAATATTTCCTTATAAATAAATGAGGAAGGAACAAATGAATTAATTTAAAGCAGGCTGGGAAGATGACTCAATGGTTAAGAGCACTGGCTGCTCTTCGAGAGGGCCTCGGTTCCATCCCCAGCATCCATGCAGTGGCCGATAACTGTCCTTAACTCCAACTCCAGTCCCAGGGGATCTAATATCCCCTTCTAGCCTGAGAGCACAAGGCAAGCCCTTGGTGCACAGACACAATGTAGGCAAAAAAAAAAAAAAAAAAAAACCTACACATAAACAAACAAATAAATACCAGTAACATGGACTCTACAGTTTATAGACAAATGAAATACATGATGACAGTAACACAAAGAAAGAGAGGGAGACCACAGAATGACACTGCTGAGACATCAGAGATCAAAGAGATCACAAGGAAGCGGTGACTAGAGGGATTTATTGCTCTACTATTAAAAGCATTTATTTATTCTAACTGTCAGTACCAGAGAACCTGAAATCGGTAACTGAGTGTTTCACTCAAGAAGCCAGAAAAACAAACTCTGAGGTTGAAGATGTAGGTCAGGGGCAGAGTGCTTACCTACCATGCAAAAGGGGCTGGGTTCAAGCCTCAGCTCTATAAAAAGGAAAAGAAAGAAAAGCTAAACACAGACAGAATGAGATAAAAGGAAAGGGTAGGACTCAAAGGAGGCAGAAATCAGAGAACACTAGAGAGGGCATTTGGCAAACTCCTGGCAACATTTGTCTTCAGGGGAAGAAAAATAAAGTAAGCACCGAGGACGAAAGAACCAAAACCAGAGAACCCATTCGCACTAAAGGAGACAGAAAACACTATGCATAGGTTTAAAAGGTCCAAGATTGGCCAGGCTTGGAGGCGCAGGATGTAATCCCAGCAGTTGGAAGAGGATCAGGAGCTGAAGGCCAGCACTGAGCTGTATTAGACCTTGCCTCAAAACAGAACCACTGATTAAAAGTACTGGCTGCTCTTCCAAAGGACCCGGATTCAATTCCCAGCACCCACACAGCAGCTCACAACGGTCTGTAACTCCAGTTCCAAAGGATCCAACACCCTCATACATGCAGGCAAAAACTCAATGTACACTAAATAAATAAATCTTTAAAACAAAATAGAAAACATAACCACCAACAAAACAAAACAAACCACCCCCCCAAACTCAACAGTTTTAATTAAATGATTGAAACATGTATTCGAAGATACAGCTTACTAGGGCTGGAGAGATGGCTCAGGAGTTATGAACACTGACTGCTCTTGAAGAGGACCCAGGTTCTGTTCCCAGTACCCACTCAACCACCTATAACTCCAGTTCAAAACGGTGTGAAATTCTCTTTTGGCTTCTCCATGGGCTCCTGTGAGCATGTAGCACACATAAACTCATGCAGAAACACACACATACAAAACAAAAAACTTGAAAAATTAGAATGCATTCTAATTCAAAATTGTACTCTTTTCTTATTATCATAATACTTAAGTACCTATAAACCTATCTCAATATATTTTAATAGTATTTCACTATAGGGATGTATCATAATTTAGGTATTTCTCTGTGATGGATACTTAAATTTATGTCTTACTAAAGAACACATATTTTCCTAACTAAAGTCACCAAGGTAAAAAGATTACAACTCTAGTCTGAACAGTGATCATTTAAATTAAGAAAAAAAATTAAGACTCATTCAGCAGATAGTAAGGTTGAGATGAAGGATATCTCTTTGACCCATGAAGATTCCCCAGGCACTGGGACACAGTAGAAGGTCTGTCTTTCTGCAGTGGTACAGCGTGGAGAGCTTAAGTCAAGCTCTTGTTGAGGCTGTAATATACAGAAAAACATTTTTAATTTTGTTAAGAAAAATAATTTTTAGATAATAAAATCAAAATAAATGTTGTTACCTCAAGTTAATGTAATTAACAAGCAATTGATTTCAATTTTATTTATTATTGTTATTATTTTGTTGAGCCAGCACCTCCATACGTAGCTCTGGCTCCATGGAATTTGCAGTCCTCCATCTCAGACTCCCAAGTACTGGGAAGCACAGTAAAGGCAGACGTTGCCACCACAACACGCTATGCTTCCCAAACTACCTTCTTTCCTTTCTTTTTTTTCTGGGGTGGGGTGGGGGTGGGTTGTCTCTCTAGCTCATGTTGGGCTCTAACATTTAGCAATCCTCCTGCATCAGCCTCCCAAGTTCAGGGATTCCAGGAGTAAGCCACTACATCCAGCTTTCCAACTTTCACTTTTACTGTATTTATTCAATTCTTTCCTTGTGTGTGTGGGTAGGAGGGACATGTGCATGCCATGGCTTACATATGGAAGGGAGAGGACAGCCTGCAGGAGCTGGTCTTCTCCTTCTACCTGTGGATTTCAAGGACTGAACTCACGTCCTCAGGCTTGGCAGAAATTGCTTTTACCCAGTGTCTCCCAAGCCCTCAAGCTATTGTTTTAAAAAACAAAACCAAGGGAAATCTTTTCAAACACAACAGCCAAAACAATGCCTCCCTCAAAGCCATGATACACAGTACCCTAGTTATGAAATAAAATCCTTTCAAAACAGAGCATGAGCTCCATGCCAAGAGTCCTTGCTTACTGTGTATGATGCCCTGGGTTTGATTCCCAGCACTTTGGAGGCAGAAGCCAGCAGATTTCTGTGAGTTCGAGGTCAGCCTGGTCTACTGAGCAGGTTCCAGGACAGCCAGGGCTACACAGAGAAACCCTGTCTGGAAAACAAGCCCCCGCCCCATAAAATCAACAGTTTCATTACATCAATTTCACACATGTATCATATATCTTACTCATATTTAAGCTAGAAATTTTTTTGTTTTTGTTTTTTGTTTTGCTTTTGAAACAAGGTCTTATGTACCCCAGGTTGGCCTCAAACTCACTTTGTACTGAGGATGACCCTGAATTTCTGATCCGTTTCCTAGGTACTAGGAACTGAACCCAGTGCTCATGCATGTTAGGCAAGCATTCCATTATCTCAGCCATGTTCTCCACCTTCAAACTAAGTTTTTTGCCTTTTTTTTTTCTTTCTAGGGGCAAGATCTCATTCATTGGAATGGGCTCTCATTTTAAGACTTTATTTGGCGACACAAACTCTGAGTCTGTGGCTGTGTCGTGCCAAGATTACTACTGAGGAGGAAACCTTAAATAGTAATATAATCACCATGCATTAGGACCCCTTAAGGAAGCATCAATAAAGTCAATCCATTAGCTTGGCATCACATTTATCTTATGAAAAAAAGAAACACAAACAAAGCCTGAAGCTCTTCACGTGTGCGTAATCAAGAGAGTCCATGACTCTGGGTCACCATCAGAAGCTGTTGCAGCTCCCCAGTTAGAGTGGGTTCTGTCTCATCAGCCCACTAAACCAGAGCACTGATTCACTAGGTAGGACAATTCTTCAGAATTGTACTAATACTTATAAGTAGCTGTATTAATTAGCATCAGCCATCAACTCTTGGGAGATCTGAGTAAACAAAAAGTAAAAAGCCCCCCAAAAAGTTGATGGAGTGAAGGTTCTGGATCCATAAAGCAGAGAGTTAGACCCCCAAAAGGTAACAACAGAGGCCTCATCTTCCTACTGACCTGCCTGGAATCCTTATTTTCTTCCCAACAACTGACTATTATATTAGGGTCTGTGTTTCAACAGAAAACACAGGAAAAACATAGCAAATGACAGAAGACATTATTAACTGCCTGACTTATTTAGCTATGCTATGGTCTGTGAAAATAAAATAAATTTCACAGCCCCAGCTAAGACACCACATGCTGACCAGGTGTCAAAATGAAGTTCAACTGACTTTCACAGCTACATGACACCCAATACTATGTGCTTTCCCTGTTACTGATAGGGAACAGGGCTTTCCTTACTTCTTTCCATCAGTGAAAAGTTTGTTTTAACACTCACATGTAGAGCCAAGTGTGCAGTAACACCCCTGCAGACCCAACCTGGGAGGGACAAGTAAGAGGATACAAATTCCAGGCCAGGCCAGGCAGGCTACAGAGCGAGATCTTCACACAAAAAGGTGTATTTTTAAGTTGAGGATACTGCTCAACTCAGTAAAGTTCGTGCTTCACTTTAGGAGGCCTATGCTTCTTTAATCTCTATACTACCACCACCCCACAAACCCCCACCACCCCCAAATAACCTCCCCCTAGAAAAACAGGGTGAGATTTCACTGTATTTCACTGAGGGAGTGACAGGATAGCTGAGTGGGCAGAGGCACTTTCTGTCTAGCCTGATTAGCTGAGTTTGAGCCCCAGGACCCATGAATGTCCTCTGACCTCCATGGTGTGTGCCCTCTGCCCCACAAAACAAAACAAGAACAACAACAAAAAAACCCACAAATATTTAATTATATCTACTTGAGAAAATGTTAAGTCTAAATTAATCTTTCACTTTCATTTAAACAACCATGGACAGATACCTTGTCATTTACAATCTTGATAAAAATCTTTAAAGGACAAATAAGAAAACTATGTCAGAAAAACTCTTAAAGACAAATTAAAAAAATATTCTGCCTGATTTTTAAGAACTCATTCACACACAAGACAGATACATTGGGGGCTGGAGAGATGGCTCAGAGGTTAAGAGCACTGACTGCTCTTCCAGAGGTCCTGAGTTCAATTCCCAGCAACCACATGGTGGCTCACAACCATCTGTAATGAGATCTGGTGCCCTCTTCTGGCCTGCAGTCACATATGCTGTATACATAATAAATAAATGAATTTAAAAACAAAAAACAACAACAACAAAAAAAAAACAAGACAGATACATTGAAGACCAACCAAAGAAAAATGAATTTTCTTTTTAGGTGAAAAAAAAAATCATGCTAAAAAAAGTTTCAAATATCATAAAAGATACATACCCCACATTCTGCTATATCCCTGTATTTTCCAAAATGAAGAACCTATAACCAAAACAAAAGACAAAGTATTCTATAAATATAATTAATATTACAAATTATAAATAGAGCTCCAGAAGAAAGCAATACATACTCGTGCTTTTGTGTTCTGGTTAACCGTCTCATAAACTCCCATGTAAAACTCAGGGTCAAACATATCCTGAATCATGCAACGGAACTTGACAAAGCTGTTAGGTTTCAAATAATGAAGAGGAACTTCATTCAGTGATGGTACCTTCAAAGAAAACAAACAAGCAAATTAGCAAAGTTGTCATCCTTAAATGTTAAGCACATACATATTCAAAATCTAGCCCTATCCGGAAGCTATATGCTCTCAATGCTTAACATAACTGCTGAGGAAGGAAAACCTTTCCTCTGAATTCTTCCCCGTTCCTGTGATAACACTTGACCACCTGCCTTCTTTATGTTCTGTTTCTTATTTCCTTTCTTTTAAGACAAGGTCTCACTTTGTAGCTCAGAATGGTCTGGAATTCACTAATAGCTGAGGGTGGCCCCAAACTTGTCATGATCCTCTAGTGTCAGTCTCCCAGACTGTAGACATCACCTACTACAAAGAATTCCTGAACCGTTTCAATCAACAGAAAGGCATGCACTTTGATGAGTTCTCTGAGCATTAACACATGCCAATTCTTTGAGGAGGGAACAAAACATAGGTGACAGCTGCTTTTGGAACCACGGTTTACCATAAAGGAACAGTCATTTACTGCCACCTAGAGGCAACACAGAATCAGACCAAAGCCTTTCAATGCCTTTGTATTGGGAACAAAAGTCCGCTCTCACTTCTCTACTTCTAGTCACATGGGGGTCTCCACTCTGCTGAGAGAAACTACAGCCAGCCAACTCCTTCCCTGTAAACAGCAGTAAGCTCACCCATTTAGGAGCATTGTTTTCCTTCAGCTTTTCCTTGAAGTATTCAACAACTTTCTTCTCCCAGTCAGGATTAACTCCATTTTGGGCTGAAAGAGAAACATGGTCATCAAAGCACATGGACCAACAGATTACGTTCAGGTCAGTAACGTAAGCTAACAGTTAATACAAGCGCAACTGGGACAGTCACAGGTATTCAAGGAGCTTTGCTGCTGGGTGCTGGGTACCACAAACAAAAGGCTGCTGGCCACATGGCTCTCTGGCATTAACAACTGGGAGGCAACACCTGTGGACTGGTATATGGTTCACCTAGACCAGCACAAGCTACAGTAGATAAAGCACTCAGCTCAAAATACTTTTATGTATAGTAATACACCCCGAAATGGAAAGTGGTGAGTTTTTTCAAATCACATTTATTTACTTAGTGTGTGTATGCGCATGCACACTTGCAAGGAGACCAGAGAACAACTTGCAGGAGTTGTTTCCTGGGGCTCTAACTAAGGTAATCTGGCAATAATTTGAAGCTTTTAATCTACATAAACAGCATCAAGAACACCTGTATCTTTGCTCCCTTTGTCTTATTATTTGTTGGATCACTCATAATAGTCTTTTCTAACCCGTTACAGTTGCATGCATTATGTACATCTGCCTTCTAAATATTTTACTGCTTTTTTAAAGATTTATTTATTTATTATGTATACAGTGTTCTGCCTGCATGTATGCCTACGTGCCAGAAGAGGGCACCCAGATCTCATTACAGATGGTTATGAGCCACCATGTGGTTGCTGGGAATTGAACTCAGGACCTCTGGAAGAGCAGTCAGTGCTCTTAACCACTGAACCATCTCCCCAGCCCTATTTTACTGTTTCTTAAGAATACCATAAGTCTAAACAATCTTAAGACTATCATAAGTCTAAAAACAGCTGTTATATATATATATAATACTTAAAATACTTTTTTAAAAAGACTTATTGTATGTGTATTGAGCACAGGTAACAAAAGAGTCCAGAAGAGGGCGTCATATCTCCTTGAGCTAGAATTTCAAGCACTGGAAACTAAATTTGGATCCTCTGCAAGAGCAGTAAGTGCTCTTAACCACTGAGCCAGCTTTACAGGTCCTGATACAACCAACCATCTATGTGGCAATGTCAGTTAAGAATACTTTCCTGCCGGGCGGTGGTGGTGCACACCTTTAATCCCAGCATTCGGGAGGCAGAGGCAGGAGGATCTCTGTTAGTTCGAGGTCAGCCTGGTCTACAGAGTGAGTTTCAGGGCAGCCAGGGCTACACAGAGAAACCCTGTGTTTAAAAAATACATAAAAACTAAAACCAACTGGTTTGAAAGAAAATGGCCCCCAAGTGGCATTATTAGGAGGTGTGGCCTTGTTGGAGTGGGTATGGTCTTGTTGGAGAAATGTGTCACTGTGGAGTTGGCTTTGAGGTCTCATGTATGTTCAAGATACTGTCCAGAGTCACAGTCCACTTCCTGTTGCCTTCTGATCAAGATGTAGCCAGCACTATGTCTGCCTGCATGCTGCCATGCTCCCTGCCATGATGATAATGGACTGAACCTCTGAACTGTAAGCTGCCACCTCAATTAAATGTTTTCCTTTATAAGAGTTCCTTTATAAGGTCACGGTGTCTCTTCACAGCAATAGAAATCCTAAGACAGCAAACAAATAAACAAAAAAAAAACCCAAACAAACAAAATAACCCCCCCCCCAAGTGCTTTAAATAAAAATTCTCCTGAGCATGGTGGTGCATGTGTCTGTGATCCCAGCTTGGGCTCTGCAGCAAGACCCCCTACTCCAAATTAATTTTGGATTTGTGTGATGTTTCCTTATAATTAGATTTCAGTCAAATATGACCATTGTTAAGATTCCAGGTCATTGGGCTGGAGAGATGGCTCAGAGGTTAAGAGCACTGACTGTTCTTGCAGAGGTTCCGAGTTCAATTCCCAGCAACCACATGGTGGCTCACAGCCATCTATAATGAGATCTGGTGCCCTCTTCTGGTATGCAGACATACATACAAAACAGAACACTGTATACATAATAAATAAATAAATCTTAAAAAAAAAAAAAAAAAAAGATTCCAGGTCATTGTTTTAGAAGAGGCAAATGTAGTTACCATGCTAAAAACTAAAGTTCTATGTCATCTAAACACCAGGAAACTAAGCTTCTACCCGATCTTCAAAGAAGCCAGGAGAAAAGCACAGGCAAATTCTCCAATCACGCAGTCTGAACTGGCCTGGCAATCTGCTTTTCTCATCGTGGCCTTAGTCATCCGAACACTAACCAGTTGTTTCTCAGTTGTTCAGTCCTGCTGCCCGCCTGCCAAGGACAGTCCCTGGGAAATGAACAATCTGTTTCCCCTTTGTTTCTGCTTTCTTCAGGCTTTGTGTAAAAGTCAACAAATTCTTCTCCTCAGCTATCAAAATCTTAACTATCTCATGGAATAAAATGCTGCCCAATTCTAGAATTCTAAACATAACAACAAAACAAAAACTAAGAGCAATAAACTAAACCTGTATTCTTGTGTTGACTGACTCTAGAATCAAGACTAAGGCCAGATAAGATCCTTGAAGTGGGCTGTGGGTGTGGGTCAGTGGCACAGTGGTTGTCTAACACACACAAGCTCTTGGGTCTAACTCCCAACACTAAAAATGGGGGGAAATCTTATGAGGGTGTAAATGACACAGCTGTGACCTCAGCATTTGGGAGGTAGAGGCAGGAGGATCAGGAGTTCAGGGTTCCTCAGTTAGATAGGTAAACGGCGCTGGTGATGGAGGCGAGTCTGTCAGAAACACACAAATCTTCTTTAGCAATTTCCAAACATTTTCCCTTAAGTGGGCCAAGGCTGACAACCATAGTTCAATCCCCAGGACCCACATGATGGAAGGAGAGAAGTGATCCCCCAAGGTGTCTTCTGACCTCCACACATGCACAACCCCATTCTCATTCTCATTCTCATTCTCATTCTCATTCTCTCTCTCTCTCTCTCTCTCTCTCTCTCTCTCTCTCTCTCTCTCTCTCACACACACACACACACACACACACACACACACACACACACACACACACACACGCACACACACACAATCAATTAAAAACTGAAGAACAGAAACAACTTTAGTGCCATACTCCAGGTTTTGTTCTTAGATCTATGACCAACTGAGTTAGTTTCTATGTAAAATATGAGATTTAGGTTGAGATTTCTATTTTTGCATATGAATGTTTAGTTTTGCTTCAAAAAATATCCTTAGGCCTGGTGGCGGTGGCACACACCTTTAATCCCAGCACTTGAGAGGAAGAGGTAGGCTGTTGGGATAATCTTCTTGTATACTGTGTGAAGATGTATCTCTGTCCTTCCTTGCCTGCTTAAGGCACGTTCTGATTGGTTTAATAAAGAGTCGAACTGCCAATAGCTAGGCAGAAGAGGATAGATAGGCAAGACTTCCGGGGAAAGACAGGAACTCTGGGAAGAAACCTGGGAAGGGGGAAGATTTGCCAGCAAGACGCAGAGGAAGTTCGATGTACAGTACTAAGCCATGTGGCAGAATGTAGATTAATATAAATGGGTTAATTTAAGGTTTTTTTTTTTTTGGTTTTTTCGAGACAGGGTTTCTCTGTGTAGCTTTGCGCCTTTTCCTGGAACTCACTTGGTAGTCCAGGCTGGCCTTGAACTCACAGAGATCCGCCTGGCTCTGCCTCCTGAGTGCTGGGATTAAAGGCGTGCGCCACCACTGCCCGGCTAATTTAAGTTTTAAGAGCTAGCTGGGAACAAGCCTATGCTAAGGCCAAGTTTTCATAATGCATAAAGTCTCCTTGCCTTATTTGGGAGCTGGTGGTCCAAAGAAAGCTTGGCTATAGTAGGTGGATCTCTGTGAGTTCAAGGCCAGCCTGGTCTACAAAGCAAGTTCCAGGACAGCTACCCAGAGAAACCCTGTATTAACCCCCTCCCCCCAAATATCCTTTATCCATTGGATTACCCTGTGCTCCTTTGTGAAAGAAAGAAAGGAAGGAAGGAAGGAAGGAAGGAAGGAAGGAAGGAAGGAAGGAAGGAAGGAAGGAAGAAAGAAAGAAAGAAAGAAAGAAAGAGAAAAGAAGGAAGGAAGAAAGAAAGAAGAGGGCTGGAGAGATGGCTCAGAGGTTAAGAGCACTGGCTGTTCTTCCAGAGGTCCTGAGTTCAATTCCCAGCAACCACATGGTGGCTCACAACCATCTATAATGAGATGTGGTGCCCTCTTCTGGCATTCGGGCAAACATGCAAGCAGAACACTGTATACATAATAAATAAATTTAAAAAAAGAAAGAAAAAAGAAGGAAGGAAGGAAGGGAGAGGTAGATAGATAGAGATAGAAAGAAATAAGAAAAGTAAGAAGAGTAGCAGAGATAGACTCTAAAAACATTTTGTTAAGGGAGACTTAACAAGACAAATAGGATGGCTCCACTTAGTACGGGAATAGAGCAGGCCAGTTCATCCAGACAGACAGCACAGTGCAGACTCTGGAAGAGGCTGGAAGAAGGCAAGCTGGGTAGTTCATGGTTATGGGACACGGAATGCCCTGGCAGTGCTCAGTCCCCGTAACTGAAGTCTAAAACTAGTCACCTTGAAACAAGGAAACTACCCAGGAGGGAGACTGAGGAAGAGCTGTGTGACGAGCTAGCTAGGTATCCAGTGGAGGAGGAGGTGGCCCAGTGGAGTTCCAGCCCAGCCAGACGACACAGTAAGAACCTGTGACAAACAAGTCAGAGCGATCGGAAAATGGCACAATTGGTCGGTTTTAAAGGCTGAAGAGGTCCAAGCCATTTTAATGTAGGCAGACTCTTATGAGACACGTGAGGGGGCAGGCAATATGCTCACGCGTTCACACGTGTATGCACATATGTGCAAGGGACAAACGAGATGCTAGGGTGCTATTTGTCAGGCAATGGCCACTTTTTGGATAGGATCTCTCACTGGCTTAGAACTTGCCCAGTAGGTAGGCTGGCTAGCCAGCAAACCACAGAGGTTTGCCTATCTCCACCTCCCCAGTGCTGGGATTAAGAGCATGCATTCTAAACCCAGCTTTCATTCGTGAGTTCTGG